GTGTGCGAACAGCTCAGCAGTTTCGGGAGGTGGCGGTCCAAGTCGAAGTGGTTGAAGCATATTATACACTCGTATTCTTCAATGGCCGGCTCCATGTTCGGAGAGCCCGGATAGAAGCGGCAGAACTGTTCCCCTAACCAGGGCAGATGGCTGCATTCAGGCTGCACACCGGCTCCAAGGAAAGTCAAGGAAAACTCGCTTTTTCAGAGTTCCTGGCGCGAGTCGGTCCAGGGCTGGGTCCGGTATATGTGGCTCCATCCCTCTGCTGCGTTTACGGACCCGTTTGCATGATCACCTGGGAACAAAAAACCCTGGACACACGAACGCGGAAGGTTACGACAGGAGATCGCGAGCAGAAAAATCGATAGACCCAATCTGGTCTCTGTCATCTGGCCGATTTGTCACAAGCGCGGGTCATGCGCGTGAGGTGGTCCATTTAAGCGTATAATTGGAATTTGTCGCCTGCTCTGACGGTGTCCCCGAGTGTTTCAGCACCGTGAGCAGTGGACAGCGCCGAGCACAGCAATCAGCGTGACACCTCCAGCTGTCCGGCCCGGTGTGGCCGGTGGAACACACACACACACACACACACACACACACACACAGGTGAATAAAAAAGGAATCGAAGAGAGTAACTGAGGCATCCCTCTCTGATTCGTGTTCATCTTCACTTCATGGCTCAGTGGCAAGAGCACCCAGTGAGCAGCAATCTTTTTTTCTCTCTCTCTCTCTCTCTCTCTCTCTCTCTCTCTCTCTCTCTCTCTCTCCTTATATGTATCAATCAATCAATGGTTAAGTGCTTAATTTTAGTCAATAAGTTTCACGTCAGAAGGTTTGTTATACATTTCCATCACAACATTAACAACATTTGTAGCTGGCTGATTAAAGATCTAAAAAACAAAAACACACTCATCATTATGTTTACTTTATTCTACATATGTAGGTTAATATTTACCCATCTTACCATAGATCATGCTCTCATTAAGTAAGGGAAGCAATAGTCTACATCCAAGTGTAGATTATTAATTTTCGTTATAAATCCATGGTTCGGTAATATCTTTGAGATTTTTACAAGTCTATAGTTATTTAACGTTTTTCAAAGGATAGATAGATAGATAGATAGATAGATAGATAGATAGATAGATAGATAGATAGATAGATAGATAGATAGATAGATAGATAGATAGATAGATAGATAGATAGGGACGCCTTATTGTGCCCTCTTGTGGCTGAAATTCTGCATGTTTGTACTGAAAGTAAATCCAAAACACATGTTGATTTTCTCTCATTACTTTTTCTATGAATAGACTTCTAGGAGTCATTTTATGCAATTGCACTAAACTATGGGACCTGAACTGGGACAAGAACAATGTAAAGATAAATTCATAAATATCAATAGATTTCAAACAACATAAAAAACTTGCAAAATTCTGACTAAAAGTTTGCCACATTTTTGTGGAAGCCTTTTTATTTGACGACAGTGTTTCAAAATAAAAAAAAGCCTATATGGCACATTCAGTTAGGCATCCACCTGTTGCTGTAATAACTACAATAGTTGAAGGGATGTGCATTTGTCCCATATCAAATTTACAGAGCTTCAGATGATCATTTACATTTTTTTTGTTGATAGCATTGATGCCTCAGATAAACTGCTATAACAAGATTTTGAACTTTCATCCTTGCCTGATGATGAGTACAGTGTCATTCATAGAGATTTATGTTGTTACTCAGTTGATGTATAAAATAAAGCTCTGGACTGTGAAATAGGTGATGTACTTAATGATGTATTTTACTCCAGTTAAAATCTGAAATCTGCAAACATTTCTTCTGTGAGTTGAAACAAATATTTAATTGTGTTTTCTTTTAGATCTCTGGACACAGTGTAAATGCAGCTATTGTGTAAATATGGTTAACTGCTTAAAAGTGCTCAAATGTGAGCACAGATCATATGTAACATGAACATGGTACATTTATTGGAGCAGGAAATCCACCTCATTGTTGTCACAGCATCAGGTAATGTGACTTTTCTCCCCCCCTTCTCACACACACACACAGAGGTAAAGTCACATTGGAATTTAAGGGAGATAAGAATCTCACTTGTGGTGGGACTACGTGTTTATCATGAGACCATACATTACTAGCGTAATGGTTATGATCTGTTCTGCCTAAACTAGAAAATTAGCCCTGCATGCCCTGTGGCTGCATGTTTAACAAATGCTGTGTTCTTCTGTTTTTGTGTCATCTCCTTTACCTGAGATCCCTTTGCAGCTCTTTGTTATGATAAATACACTCTGTTTGACTTCCCGCTGAATTGCTGTGGGTGACACATATATGATAAGATCAGACACATAAAAAAACAGTGGCTCTTTTGATAGTGACATGTGAGTTAAACTTCTTGAGCCCCCTTATCTGAAAACAGATTTCCTTCTTTCATGCTGCGACCATCCTGGGAAGCACATCTAACCGAGGGCTTGACCTTTTTTTTCAAATGTATTTTTCTCTCTGACAAGGATTAAACTGTGTCTTTATTCGATTGTTGCAAGTGCTGCTGATTAAGAATGTGGTCAAATGCATGATTTGAGAAGAAATTATGAGAATGAAAATAAAAGATGAGTTATCAGAAACTCAAAATAAGATGCAAGAAACCTTGACCAAACCAAAAGACATCCAGTCACTGGACTCAACATAAAGTGCGCTAAATTTAGCAATAGTTTTTCACACGCGTTCCTTTTATGGCATTTCAGTGACAGAACACTCAAAAGCTGCTCAATGACTACTTTCTTTAAATGAATGATAGATACAAAAGGACTGTTTACATTGCAAGCTAATTAAGCCTTGTGGATGAAATAGATACATTGGCATATGCAATTAGATCCCTGAGGAAAGTCAATAAATTAGAGTTATCAACATATTTACCATGCTGCTTGTGTGAGGAAATCAGAGCTTTTTGTACTGGCTGTGGGCACAGTTTATCAGAGAAAAACGCCTGTTTAAACCTTAGAAATTCAGCAGTTTATAGCCCAAATAGCTCATGGTCAGATAATCAGTGTGTGGATTTGATTGCGTTTAAATGCTTATCGACTGCACACTGGATCTGATGTTGTGATGGAACTGTCAGGTTCTGTTCGGCTAGTGGGGAGTTTTTAAGTGATCTAACCAGAGCTCGCTGCAGAGTGGAGCCTTATCACGGTAGGGCCAGAGCCAAGATTAGAGTTTATTAGGTTGTTAGGCTAACTTTACCTTCAGTGCAGACATGGAAACTTATTGTGTTTTGTCAATTTGTCTGACTCAGAAACAGGGTCTCCAAAGCCCTTGGCTTTTTCGGGGTATGTGCCCACTAAAGGCAACATGCTATTCTTTTTTCAGGGCCGTTTTGTTCTTTATTTTGGATGCATTTTGTCCAGACCACAGCACATTTCTGACTCAGCTTACCTCTCTAATTGATTTGACACGGTAGATCCAATGTCCTTTTCATGATAGTCAAACTTTAGTATGATAACTTTCTATGCCCCCCCTTCATTCTTGCTTTTATGGGGGGGTATAATGTTTCCACATGTTCTCTCTCCCTTTCAAAGTCTTACAAAGGCAGTAAACAACAAAATGAGAAAAAAATGATAGCGAGAATCGCACATTAATACCTGTATGCCCCGGCAGACTTTCCTATTTCTTTAGCTCATTTAGAAATAAAGGAAACACCTGGCGCTGCTATTTCTGGGCCTATTTTTGCACAAAAAGTCCTTTTCATCTGTCCCATCAGCAGTCTCCTTCGGACGATAGTTGAGTTTGGACAGTCGTAATTCTACAGTCATGGACAAATGATAGAATTTTGCATTTGTTTTGTCTTGAAGAGGTCATGACCAACCAGCCATTCATGGAATGCAAAGTGAGGTGGCCTGTAAAACGAATTAGCCAGTAGCCTATAAAAACCTATTCCTGGGGTGGGGGGGGGAGAAAAAAAATGTATCGGTCTATTAAACACGCCTAATGATTACAATGATCACATCTCCACAAGCTTCAGAAAAGTCAAGTGATCCCTCATGTGGCTCTGCGTGTCTTTTATGCAGCATTTGCACGGATGTGTTCACCACCGTGTGGCTCAACCACGAGTCCGAACAGCAGCCATTGTTAAATTAGCGCAAGTGTCGAATGACCGCGCAGAGCTCTTTTTTTTGCGTGGGTCGTGGCGAATCTTGCAGAAGAGAATAGGCCCTCATCCCCATTGCGCGGATTTGCCGTATAAACACTTGTGGCCCCCCTCGTATCCGCTGTCAGCTGATGCCACATAGCTCTGCTTTGCACTTGGGCCTCTAACTAAGAAATATCAGCGGATCGCCGGGGAGTTTAGTTTTTGGGGCTAAATTAGACTCTTTTTGCGTGAATTTGGGGAGCAAAAATCTGCGCACAGTAATTATTGGTGATTATAGTAGATTTTGATTTGTCTTAAGAGTGAAGTATAATTTATAAACTTGTCCGAGTGGGAAAACAAATGCAACACGAAATTATAAATTTACACTAAGAACCCTAATATCTATTTTCATTTATTACTTCGTCTTTTGTTTTGGAAAATTAAAATGCGTATGCTTCTGCGTGTGTGAGTGGGTGTGTGAGAAGCTGTGACTTTTATACAAGTTTATTATCAATGCATACCGATTGCTATCCTCTGGGTGTTTTTCCTTCTCCCTTTTTGTTTTACGTTAACTGAGTGTACTTACAGTTACCCCCGACCTGTGACTGGGATATTTATCGAAAAACGCCATCAAACTTTGAATAAATTATTTGTAAAAAAAGAAATAAAAAAAATTGTTGAGTGCACAGAAGCTTGTGACATGACAAGTTGACCTCGTGAGGTCAATCCAAACAGAGCAGGAGGACTTTTTGTCCAATCACGCCGCTCCCCCTTCCTCCAAATGTCCGGGTGTTTAACCAATCAGCGCACGCAGCGCGGAGTCAGAGGGGACAGCAACCGTAGATAAAATGTTTGACTTCCATCCATCGTCTCAGAGCATCTTCCAAATCCTCCCAGGACTGTCAGAAACCTGCACGTTGATTTAAACTCACTCCCCCCCCTATCCCCCACCCTCTGCTCGGACCGACCACCGGATAGCAACCGGCAACTTCACCGAAAGTCCGACCCTTCCTGCCGGGGCAACCTGTTACTCGAGGGGAGAAGGAGCCCGCACTGAAGACGGAGCCTGAAGACTGGGGCCGAGCACGACTAAACAAACCCAAAACAAAAAAAAGTTGTGTTGTGGATTTAAAAGAAAAAGTGAGCAACAGAAGCGGCTTGGTTTAAAAGAGTCGCCTGACAGAGAGTCAGGAATTATGACAGCGCTCGCAGGAGGTTTGCCGAGAATGATGAGACCGACTCCCCACCAGAACTACCCGCGAGGCGGATACTCTCTGGAAGGTAAGGGGACCAGCAACCGGTGGCTCTCAGCAACCTGGAAAAGAGTTCAACTTTATAAAGGAAAAAAAAAACTTCAGCAAAGTTGACCAACTTGATTTCTGACATCTGCAATTTTGCTAGAAAAAAAGTTTGGTGAAGTTGATTTTGGAGTTCACTCACATTCGCACACAATTTAGCCTATGAGAAAAAAAAATGCATATAGCCTATTTCCAGTAAGTGGATTTGCACAATTTCAACATATTAATAACTTACAATTTGAGAATTTCTGTCAGTTTTTTTTTTTTAATCTTAGGATATTTTCTACTTCATAAGACAATTTATGAGTGAAAGCTGTAAATAGTATTTAGCCAACTTGATTTTACATTTCCATCCATTTGTTTAATCCAATCTATATTTAAGTGCATCTTAATTAATGCTTCTCATTAAAAAAATATCAGATTTAAGTTCAGAAGAGATGAAACAAGATGAAACAAGATGAAAAAGAACTTGAAAATATGACAAAACAAGCTGATCGGAACAAGTTACTGTACGCTAAGAACCTTGCATTGCTGTCTAGTTTCCACTCCGTTAGGACAGGGTCGGGTCAACCAGCTCGGTGGTGTCTTTATAAACGGCAGACCTCTCCCCAACCACATCCGCCATAAAATCGTGGAGATGGCCCATCACGGAATCCGACCGTGTGTCATCTCTCGCCAGCTGCGGGTGTCCCACGGCTGCGTGTCCAAAATCCTCTGCCGGTACCAGGAGACCGGCTCCATCAGGCCGGGGGCCATCGGAGGAAGCAAGCCAAAGGTGGGAGACACGGTCAGCTTAAACCACTACATCTGACCAGTGCCTTTTCTTTCTTTATTTAAGCCAGCATAATATAATTTAATGGCTTAAATTTTTTTGTGTGGCTGTGAGCTCCTATATAAAACGTCAAATTCTTAGTTAAACATTTGCAGTATATGTACCTGTGAAATTTGCTTATAAAGAGAAAAAATATCTGAACGGATTAATGATTTTTAATTAAGATGTTTATAGATTTTGAGATTTGAACAAATTTATGTAGTTAAGAAAACTTCAACAAAATCCAATTGTGAGGGATTTTGCATTCTTCAAGCCAAGCAAATGCTTTCCTTTTTGTATTCAGCCCACTTTGTTTTTATTACATAAATTTAGGCAAAGATAGTGTTTTTTTTTTCTGTCAACTAACATCACTTGTTGTTTCTCATACCAAAGCAAACCGCTTCTCCAGAAGTTGACAAGAAGATTGAAGAGTACAAGAGGGAAAACCCCGGAATGTTCAGCTGGGAGATCAGGGACAAACTACTGAAAGATGGGATCTGCGACAGGAACAACGTCCCATCAGGTAAGAAAAGATAGGAAAAGTTTATAGCGCGGAATAATGCATCACTTTTTTTTTCCATTTCGAAGTTTTTAACGGAAAAGTTCAATAATACCGATTCGTGAAAAAGGCGTTTTTAATAGTCATGTCACTGTAGCTCATTAAATCTACGTTTTCTCTTTCCGTTTCTTTTTATGATATCCATTTACTCCAAGTTTTTTAAACGTTTTATTGTTCCTCAGTGAGCACCATCAGCCGCATTATGCGCTCTAAATTCGGTGGAGTCGCTGAGGATGAGGAGGATGAGGAGGAAGTGGTGAAGAGGGCCATGGAAGAAAACGAACCACGGACAAAACACAGCATTGATGGCATTCTGGGCGACAGATGTAAGTTCCAATAGTTATTTTATTAATTTAATGTAGCCTACCTGGTATTGGCCTTCGATGTCAGTAAAATCCTGGGGAGAAAAATTTAAACAAAGAAACGAAAGTACAACTATGGAGATCTGATCGAAGAAGGTTAAAAGTTCTGAAATATTCCGGGTTCACTGCTGATTTTAGTTTGGTGTGTTGATCAGCACATTCATATTACTAGCCCTTTGGTGGTATGGCTTCTAGATTGTTGGTTGTAAGCTTAAATTTAAACAGACCCCACATAATAATAATAATAATAATAATAATAATAATAATAATAATAATAAT